CCCCCCCCCGCCCCCCCCCCGGGCTCAGCAACAAACCGGCCCCGGCACCGATGGGGTGACGTGTCCCCAGCATCGGCCAAGGCGGGTGGCGGAGGACGTTGGGCCTCAAAAATGGTCGTTTCTCGCCCGACGTCGTTCAGGTCCTCCAGGAACCTGTGGAAATTCACCCCTTTGCTTTCTTCCCCTCTTCCCACAGCCCTGGTGGTGGGTGCTGGGGCAGTGCCCATCCCCGCGGCGTCAGGGCGGCTTGGAGTCTGGTGCTGAGGGGCTGGAAATCGGGGTGCCCCCAGAGATGGAGCCTGTCCTCTTTGCCTGGCTTCACGTCTGGACTCTGCCACCCGCTCCCAGCCTGAAACCAGGCGATTTTGGGGCTCTTTTTCCCCCTCCGTCCCCCCCAGTGGCTCTGCAGAGGGGCTGGGGTCCGGGGGGGGCTGTGTTTTGTGCTGGGAGGGGCTCGCAGCAAACCCAACCCGGGGAGATGTCGCACTCGGAGCCACAAAACATCCGTTTCCCCCGACCCCAGAGCTGCTTTTTTGCAAAATTCTGTGTGCAGGGCCGGGCTGCAGCGCTGCTGAGACGCAAGAAAAACCCCAAAGCGGGGGGTTCGAGGGGGAGGTGTGCCCCAAAGCGGGCACCCACCAGGCTGGGGGGCTCTGGGGCAGGGCAGGGGACACATCCCGTCGTGCTGGTGGTGGCAGGTGCCCCGTCTCACTGGTCTGTCCTTGCCCGTGTCCCTGGGGCGCAGCCCCCCGTGTCCCTGCAGAGAGGAGATGACGCTGCGTAGGAGATGGCAGCACTGGGGCCAACCCAGTCGGGCACTGGGATTTGCCCCCACCGGGATCTTTCCTGCTGTCCCACTCCATCCCGTGCTGTCCCACACCATCCCGCACCCACTCATCCCCAGTATAAAAGAACTTCCTGCTGGTTCCCCACGCGGGTCCCCATCCCTCCTCCGCCCCCCCCGGCTCTCGGGGTTCAGCCAGGGCAGGATTTCTGTGGAAACCCCCAAGGACTCACCATTGCCCCGGCTGCGAAGGGCCCGGGGAATTCCTGCCACGGGTTTCTGCTGCAAAGCTGGGGTTGGCTTCGTCTTTTTGGGGGGACACAGGAGCTGGCTTCGCCTTTTTGGGACACATGGCCTGATTTAGCCTTTTTTGGGGGGACGCACAGGAGTGGGATTTGCGTTTGGAAACGCAGCGGCATTGCCTTTGGAGAGGATGCTGGGGATGGCTTTACATTTTGGGGGGGAAACAGGGGCTGGTGTTGCCTTTGGGGAGTAGGATGACGACAGGACAGATTTGGGGGACACAAGGTTTACATTTGGCAAACACGAAGGTTGGCTTCGGTGTGAGGGGTGCGGGCGGTGGCTGTGCATTTGGGGGAACACGAGGGTTGGCTTTGTCTTTTTGGGGGGGACTTGGGATGGTTTGCCTGGGCCGGCAGCCGCTGTTGCCGTGCAGGTGGGGCTTGGGGGGGGACATGGTTGGGTTGGAGGCAGTGGTGTGGCCAGGCCATGCCACCATGTCACCGTGCCGCGCCAAGCAGCCGTGCAACCACGCCGCTGCGCAATGCAACCATGCAGCACTGTGCCACCGTGCCAGGCAGGGCCGTGTCCCCGTGCCGTGTCCCCATGCCGTGTCACCATGCTGTGCCCAGCAGCCGTGCCGTGTCACCATGCCGTGCCATGTCCCCGTGCCGTGTCCCCGTGCCGTGCCGTACAGCTGCAACCAACCCTGCTCCACCTGCATGGCGGGGGCTGCACCGCTCTCCCACGCGCGGCCGTGGTTCTTGTGGCCGCAGGGCTTGGGGTGCACTGGGCTGCCATCGAGAGAGGAGGCGGCTCAGGAAGCCCGTAGTCCCCCCCCCGATGCACTGCTGGGGGTGCAGGCAGGTCTGGGCAGGGGGGGGGCATCCTTTGCCGGGGGGAGGTTGCACTCGTGGCCCTGGGCAGGTTTCCCTTCTTGTAAGATTTCCCTTCCATCTGGGTTCGTCCTGGTTCGTCCCTGCTCCATCCTCATCACCCCCAGGTCCTGTGTCACTCAGTGTCCTCTTGATGCTCACGTCCCCTGGATGTGCCCCCAGCTCCTCAGGGGACCCCGGGTCCCCTGTCCCCTCCCCAAATCAAGGGGTTCATGTGGGGACAAACCTCGGGGCAGCCCCTTCCAGAGCTCCAGAGGGAAACGCACAGAGGGAGGGGATCCAGAGGTGCCCGATGGTTTTTTGGGGTGCACGGACGGGGGGGGGAGGTGGTGATCTGGCCAGGGCATCCTGCCCCCCACCGTGGCACCTCCCAAACCGCAGGGACCAAACCCAGGGGAGCCGAGTCCCGCTCGAGCGTCGGGGGGATTTAAAAATAAACGCGAGGCAAGTAGGGTTTCGGGTCTTACCCCCCCACACCCTCTCGT